AAAAAGGACCAGATAAGTTCATGGAGGATAGGTCCATCAATGGCTATTAGCCAGGATGGGCAGGAATGGTGTCCGTAGCCTCTATTTGCCAGAAGCTGGAAATGGGTGGTAGGGGATGGATCACTTGATGATTACCTGTTCTGTTCATTCCCTCTGGGGCACCTGGCAATGGCCACTGTTGGAAGACACAGAGCAGAAGTGCAGACGTCTCTGGTTACTGCAGCATCTGTCTCTGGGGTAATTTCATAGTAAAGTTGCATTGACTCGGCCGTTCCTAGTTAAACTTTCACAAGGGGCGGATGTGTTATCCGGTCTCTGACCCGGTAATAACCACCTCCTGCAGCAAGGCAGGCGTCAAGAGGGAGGCGGTGGGGTCTGATGGACAGGGCACTGGACTGGGAGTCAAGAGCCCTGGCTTCTGTTCCCAGCTCAGTTGGTGACCTTCTGTGCCTCAGTTTCCCCTCCCCCCTTGTCTGTCTCACCTGCTTAGATTGTAAGCTCTTCGGGGCAAGGGCCGTCTTGCAGTGTGGGGACAGTGCCTAGTGCCAGCTGGGGATGGAACCGCCGGGCACTGCCTTATTAGTAATAATTGCCACAGATACAGTGGGACCGGTTGGTTTTCCAGCCAGCGAACAGGCGGGGAAGCCAGCAGAGTCCAAATGCCATGAGGGTGGGGAAGACAGAGATGGCGCGGGCCAGGCGAGGAGGTGGCTGTGCTGAGGAGACACGCAAGCCGAGCAGGTGACGGGTGCCCTTGGGCCAGCAGTTGCACCAGAGCTGGGGGGATGGTGAGAAAGGGGTGGGGCCCACTGGAGTAGATGGGAGCTGCTGGGCTCCTGCGGCTGGCGGGGTGAGTGGGGGAAATAAGGCCCAGGAGGGCACTTTTGAATCGATTTCTCATCCGATGGGGGGGAGGGCTTAGGGGTTTCCTTGCCACCTTGATGATTGGCCTTGGCACCATGTCTGCACGGGGCCAGGCCAGCAAGTGCAGGAGGTTACGGTTCCAGGGAGCTGGTTCTGCCCAGTGAGCCGTGACGCTCCGCTCCGG